CAGGCACAGGTGCCTGTGTGACCGGCCTCGGTACCAGCCTGGCCCCGAGTCTCCAAGAGCCCCGATGGGCAACACCTCCCACCTGCTGCCACACGTGCAGGACATGTCAGGCCGACCTGCGTGACAGCAACAGCAAAGCGACCACAACACGGCCCCGGGAAGAGAGCGGGAGGCCTGGGCAGCGGCGGCAGCGGGCCTGTCGTCAGGACACAGGAGACATGGAACGCGAGTCCACGTGTCAACAGAGCACTCTGCTCAGCAGGAAGCACGGGCTGACAACAGCACGACCCGGCCAGGCCCTCAGGGACTGACCCAGGAAAGATGACTCGGGCCAAGAGGACAGGCCCATGGACGGCACAGCAACTCCAGGCGCCGCCGCCAGAGCCGGGCCGGCTGGACCGGGCCAGAGGTCAGAGGCCAGAGGTCAGAGGCCGCCGAGGAGACTGCTCGGTAATTAAGGGGAATGAACTATCCATCGGGGCAGCAGCATGGATTTTACGTTTCTCGATGCTGCTGTAAATTGAGTCTTTTTCCATTTTCATTTTCAAGTTGCTGCTCAATGACTCATTCTTAATGAACCCTCTGCTGCGCGCAGGCACCTGGCACGTGCTCTCTGTTTAATACCCTGTGCAGCGCTTCCACGAGCGGTCAATGTATCGACCGGGGCTCCAGTCCCAGCTCCCAGACGCTCCCCACCGAGCGGGACTCGGCACACGTGAGGCGGGGGCAGGCCACCGCCCAAGGCTGTCAATTCATAAAACCCGGCTCAGCAAACAACGGACGTTGTGATGAAATTGGACTCGCGGCGAAATGTTTAATCCTGATGTAAATAATGTCCAACTGCAGGTCGCAGACTAACCGCCGCCACAGTTCCTGGTTGTCACGGGGCTGGAGCGAGTGGCGGAAGCTTCTGCAGCTGTGGTGGCCCTCGTGCCTGGATCTTTGGTTCTGACGTGGCTGAGACGGGAGTGTTGGTTAGCAGAAATGCCGTCTATTGAAATACTGATGCCACTGTTAACGCAGATGGAGCACTTCATGTGCAGAAAAACACAGGGCAGGGGGAGGGGAGGCTGAGGCAGGCCCGCCGGGAGTCCGGAAGGAGAGGCCCCGCCCCGCCTGGTCCCACCGACTCACTCAACCTGCATCAACTGGCTGTGTCATCGCTATTTGCTGAGCAGGGGCACCTGCAGGGAGATGGTGCTCCCATGGCCATGTCTGCAAATAAGATCCAGCTGGGCCTGGCCAGGTGTTCAGTGGACGGGAGCGTCGTCCCTACGCCAGGAGGTGGCAGTTCCATTCCCAGTGAGGGCACTGCTAGGCTGTGGGTCAGTCCCGGTGAGGGCACACCGAGGCTGTGGGTCAGAGTCCCGGTGAGGGCACGGCTAGGCTGTGGCTCAGAGTCCCGGTGAGGGCACACCGAAGCGGTGGGTCAGAGTCCCGGTGAGGGCACGGCTAGGCTGTGGCTCAGAGTCCCGGTGAGGGCACACCGAGGCGGTGGGTCAGAGTCCCGGTCAGGTGAGGATTTTTTTTAATTTACTTTTTAAGAAGACCCAGCCAGGTAGAGAGTGTGCGTCACAGTGTGACAGGGACAGCTCAGGCAGCTCGGAGAGCACGGGGCCGGAGCCACAGGCGGGCACTCGAGCTGAGCCTTGGGAGACACAGAACTGAGCACCCAGGAACGGACAGGTGACGGGAGGAAGGACCTGAGGAGCCCAGAGCCGGGCAGCTGCTTGGGACGTCTGCACAACTGAGGCAGGAGGGGGTCTCGGGGACCACGAGGCGCCTGGGCCAGGCTCTGGAGCGGGCTCCTTCTAGAGGGAAGGGGAAGCCCTCGGGGACCCCTGCCCATCGGGGTCACTCACCAAGCTGGTGCCTGCAAGCATGGCAGGTGGTGAGGAGTCCAACCGGGGAAGGAAGGGCCACTGCCCCCGCCAGGGCCCACACCCCCGACCGCTCGAGGCACAGACACCGGGCGCCATCACTGAGGCCCTCACGTCAGGGAAGACAGTGCCAGGACCAGACCCCCCCCCCCAGCATGAGGTGCCAGGCTCTGGGCACGGGCACCGAGGACGGGTGTGGCAGGCAGCTGCTGCACCACCACGGCTCCCTCCTGGCCTGTGTCACAGACGTGTCGCCCCCACCACGTCCTACTTGTCTGCTCTGTCCCCGCTCCCACCAGGCTCCTCCAGGACAGGCGTGACCTCCGTCATGTCCACGTCCCCACACCCCCGGGAGCCCCGGTGAACGAGCGCCTACGTCAGCGAGCGCACAGCCCAGGGGGAAGGAGGTACACAAGTGACTGGATCCGAAACAGTGAACTCTGCCAAGACGTTCTGCGAAGAACGAAAGGAACAAACCCAGACCCCCTGGCTGAGGGACGTGCCGCAGCCCTGCTGAGCCTGGGCGACAGGTCGAGTCTGGCCTGCTCTGCTGATGGCAGTGCCCACACGGAGTCCACAGGACTGTGTAGCTGGCTCGTTATTTTATCCATGGGAATGTGGGCGGTCTGTTGGAGGTGTCATTTCTCACACGGGCCACTTGCTACTCTCCGATGTGATGCAGTGAAGGCGTTTACTCAGAGGCCTGTCCGCCGATTGAAAAAGCAGAAAGGCAGGAGCGGGCGGTGGGGACAGGAGCAGGCAGCCGGCCGGCCAGCACCGAGGGCCTGGTGTTGAGCGCAGAGGCCCAG